CTGCCGTGCTACGAATATCAAGTAGCATCAAACTACCCCCTTGGCAACGGCTGAGAGTCAAGGGGGAAAGCAAGATAGCTACATGCATTCCCCGCGTCCAGCTCACCGGGGCCGGATATCAAAGAACCATTCGACGCCACAGTCACTGGGGTGTCATTCCCCGCCTTTTTCCCACGTCGCACATCATGTCTCGCACCAAGCCCTTGTTTCTCCCGTCGTAGCATCGCTCGCGTGTCGGTGACGACTGCAAATCGACGCCCAAGACCCCTATCAGATCGCCTTGTCTCGAATATCCCCCCGCTCCCTCCGATCCATCGCATGCAGACAGGTAGGTCCCCTCACATCGCTGACTGCCTTGAGCGCCAAATCGTTTTCACATGCCAGATGCGTCTGCTGTTTCCCTCCCCCCACCCCTGTCTGTCAGTTTCGGCCATCACCATCGTCCAACTGGCTTTTGTAACTGGCGGAGATATCTCCAGACCAATCCGGCGTATAGCAACGGACGGGCAGAGAGGAGAGCTGTCTCCTCCCCCCCCCCCCCCCCCCCCCCCCTCCTCCCCCCCCGTCGCATGCCCGGCTGCGGGCTACCCAGAACCGCGAAACACGAGCTGCTGCGAGCCACAATCACAATGTACACTCGTCGCATTCAGGGCAAGGGTGTGTGCTATCGACGCAGGAAGCACCATATCGGTGATCATCTTATTCTCTCTACACAGCAACCTCGAGAGCTCGTCTTCCTCCGCCCCAGGGCAACGGCACCAACACTACCAACACACACACACACACCAAGCCAGCCACGAAAGGCACGCCATAGCACCCAAACATAGGGGCAGTTGTGTATCCCATCCCCCCCAATCACACTCCGGTGAGGCTAGGCGGCAAGCTAAGAAAAAGGAGCCGCTGGAATTTTGAGGAGTGCAACGCTTAGGACTAGCTCCCCCCTCGAGATGGTGTGCTGACCGCGACCCCTGCCAACCCCCTCACCCCTCCCCCATTGGCGCGGCGACGTTGCTGTGGTCGGGGAACGGTTCTGGACAGACGGATAACCCTCGGCTGGACACACACGCACACTCACACACCGACGCCGCAGTCCACTTCGGGTTGGAGCTCGAAGCTGGTCAGGCTTGGTGATGGAGACACCTCATCTTCCCCTGCCTTTTATTTTCCGTCCGGGGGGGGGGGGGGGGGGGGGCATTTGCCTCTGCAAACGCGCCGCGGGTGGTGGTGTTTCGATCAAAAGGGAAGTGCCGCTGTACCCGACTCTGTAAACAGCTTCACCTTGAGCCACGGCCTCCCCACTCCCAAGACGCTCAACCGCCCCCCGCCTTATCAGATGTATCTGTTACGGCTCATGACCGCAGAACGAATCAATGGGGCCCGAGGATAAGTACCGAGATGTCATATCGCGACACCTCCACCACATCGTCTGCTTCCCGGCCTACGTGCCGCCTCGATCCAACTCACCGATGTGGGTATCTGACTCTGGATGCTATGTCGGGGAAGGGGAGGAGGGGGTGCTATGGTTCGCGATGTAGCTCTCTGCGAGGCCATCTCGCAACGCCATGGCGAGACAGGACTCTCGCCGTCCAGGTGTGTCATGCTCGCTACGAGAAAGGCACCAAGGAGGCAGAAAATGTATATGTGTGACAGACTGAGAGAAACCGTCGTCGTTCATGGCGGCGCGGGCGCGCGCCCCGGACCTTTGAGTACCGAGTAGCCGCACCATCTGGCATCAAGCCCAGCGGTGATCAAGCAGGCACAAGCCAAGCCAGAAACAAAACACTCTCGCGCCCATCGGGTTTACACGGTGCGGCGGCAGCAATGTGATGTGAGAATAAAAATAAACACTCCGAGACGGGGGGGACGGCGAGTAAGGCGCACCGAACAAGAAAACATGGTCACCACGCCCGCGCCGCGTCGCGCCGGCGCCCCGACTCGGGCGTCAAGCTCGACAAAACGCTGTTCAGATAGGCTATCCGCCGTACGACTCGTCTGCACCCCCTGACATGAGTAAATGACGATCCCACAAACACCTTGATAGATGGCCGCATCGTTTACCCCGGGTTCCTAGCCTCTGGATAGAGGAGGGGTAGAAGTCGGGAAAAGGAAAGAAAAAAGAGAAGAGGCATTGTCGGACAGGGAAGAGTGACCTTGAAAACGAAAGCCAGGCCGCTGGATAGAACTTGCAGATCCCGTCCTGAGGCCTAACCATCTCATCACCCAGTCAGGGAGGGAGAAATGAGAGAATGAGTTTCGACGACGAAACAGACATACATAGTACATACCACCCAAGGCAAAAATCGCCAGTCTTGGCCCTCCCGCCCCCCCCCATCTCGCACAGTTCACAACAGAAACCTCCCTTCCGCCCCTGGATGAGCCAAACGCACTCTCTTACCCCCTACCCGGCGCCGGTTCCAAAGTGAAAGAGAAAAAAAAAATATTAAAAAGTTGAAAAATAAAGAAAGAAAAAAACTCCCAGACGCCACGCCAAGAGCGGTGAACCCGGCCCCAGCGCCATCGTCCGTCCGTCCGTCCATCCGTCTTGGTTCCCCGCCACCTCCACCCGCCACCGCGTCGAGGCAAACTCCCTCCCCTCCGGCCCGAAGGCTCTAAATCCCAACAGAACGTCGGACGAGACGAGAGGCAAAATGTTAGCGGATACAGGGCGGTGCCCGTCAAACCCCCAAGAAAGCCAATTCGACCAAGCCGCCACTGTAATCATGGCAACGTAAGGGGGGGGGGGGAAGAAGGAGGGGGGGACGAACAAATCCAAGTTACTCATGAGACCCGGACCCGGACTCATGCCACTTGGCGCCTCGTCGCGTCTCTAAACCTCCTCCTTCCCCATCCCTCCCCGCTTTCCCCCAGACCAACCTACTACTGTACCTAGGACCTGGGGTATGGTATGGACAAGGTCTGCCGTGCTCTCTGGACGATGCTGAAACGGTCCCTCCCCCCCCCTCCTTCTTCATTGTGCTCACCCGTGCCCCCGCGAGGTGTCGCCGCAGGCTCGACATGGCACGACCGCCTAGAGCTTTCCCCAACATGCCGTCGCAGCAGAGGTTTAGCTTGTTGTGGGGTAGCGGTGCGAAGCGCTGGTTGGCCGGACAAGGACAACGCGCTGTAGAATGTCGTCTCATCAACGGGCATAGCACTCTGCTGGTTTAGGTAGGCCGGGGTAGACCAGGAATTGCATCTTAGCCCCCTCTCCTCCTCTCCGGGACTGGGTTCCCTCACGCAACGACTGCGCCAGTGACACCCACTGCATCCCGTGATTCCTTGTGTAATCAAACCTACAGGCCATCATGACTAGCAAATAAGCGGTGGGGCTCATGGTGCGCTCGCATGCCAGGATACGCTGCAAAGCAGCCAGTGTCGGTATGCGTATGCAGTATCGGCGGGAATGAAGACGAGACTTACAGACAAGGTATCGAGTATGAACCCATCTCGAAAGAGACACCCTATGGCAGCGAGAGCCATGCTGTTCTCTCCTCCTCGGAGTCTCGGAGTCTGGCTGTATGCGGTGCGTGTAAATCTGACAGCATCTCCCCGAACCCTTAGAATGCGGGGTTGGCACGCTGTCTCACCATTGGCGGATTGCTCAGCGAAATGCCGCCCCCCTCCTGACAAGTTGTAGGTGAAGTCCGGTCAATCCGTTTGCTCTACTGCCGAAACAGCCGTGTCTGCTGTGAGGCCTCGCCGGGAAAATAAAAATGACGCAAAAAAACCCTTTGGGGGCTGGTGTTTAGCGTCGTGAGATGGGCGGTCGACGTTGTGCGACCAACCGAGGGAGCCGCTCCTTGTGCTCCTTCAAGAAATCTCGAGAAGAGCCGGCGTTTCATCGAGTGCTTCGCTTTGGGGGGGGGGGGGGGGGTCATCTGTCAGATTATCAGCTTTCCGTCAAGAGCAAGCCATGATGATGGTTGTGGGAGAACGCCCTGCATGCCAGCCACTCGGCCAAGATGATGTTGACTGACTCCTTTCCCGGCTCTATGGTCACGGGATGTCTACCAAGCAGAGACGGAGCTCTCCGGCATGTCCATCAACAATCGTTCCCGTTTATCCCATTCTGTCCCGGAAATCGCAATGAACACCTCACGTTCTCACCTCACCCAGTGAATGGCCCCAACAGTATGAGCCGAAGGGGGGCAGCCGCTGAGTGGTTTCTTTTTCTTTTTTCTCGCGGGCCAACTTTCTTTCTTCCCGCTGGAGGGAACTCTCCGTAGTCTACGTTGTTTCCATGGTCTCTTCGCATGGCAGAGTTAAAATCCCGCTGTATCCTAAACCTTGAAGAAAAGCTTGGAGCGACATCTCCGGAAAGGACCTTGTTTTTTTTAGGGGGGTCCCGACACGGTCAGGACACTTATACATACACGCACACACACACACCCGCCTTCCGGTCTCATGTAAGCCCCTCCCCTCACACCAACGGAGACAATGGAGTTGTGATCACGGCTACGAGCGAGAGGAAACAAGAAATAAATCAATAAGAAAAGGGAAAAAGAAAAAAAAAAAGAACAGAGGTTGCCGAAAGAGCCGCAATCCGAGGCGGATCGACCGCGCGGCGACGTCCGGCGACGTCCGGCGCCGCAAATGGGAAAAAAGCGGGTGAGAGTGGGGGACGGGGGACTTTGTCGTGAATTCCCACACCGGCACCGGCATACGAACGAAACTCTATCTCTGTAGATCTGGAGACAAGCCCAGTCGGCCCGGCCTGGGCAGCAACTTGTGACACTTGGCAAAACCAATAAGGCTCTTTACAGAAGACACGCCTCCTCTCAAGCAAGGCAAAAAAAAAAAAAAAAGTTGAAGCGGGAATAACAAAAACCACGAGATGGGAAAATCTCACCGCTATTTGATCGAGCGATTGATTACTTCCTGATCAGCATTCACAGTGCCTAGTCACGTCCTCTAGCTCTGGCAGCCTAGCCTGTGCTGGGTCCCTTTTTTTCTTGCATGTGCCGTCGTGGGCGTTCCATTGGATAACTGCGGCTTCGGCCATGCCAATGCCAACTGAGGGCATACTAGTGGGCGAGGCGACTTACTTCCCGAAAAGCTGGCTGCAGAAGAGAGAGTAAGCAACGGCGGCCCGGAGATGGCAAGGATCTGGGGTCCGACGACGACGACGACGACGACGGCGTAGTGTACGAGCCGTGAGAATGGCTGCATGCCTTAGCCCCGAAGTCACCTGGCCGAAGCTCGAAGCGGGTGATGTCCAAGGCGTCCGGCGTGTCCTGGTTGATGGCGGCTCGGAAGCGCGGCCAAGCCACACTTTGACTCTCAAGCCTGGTGGCCACTTTGCGGAGACGCACCCGGTGAGGCGCAACGCCCGACTTATCAATAGCTAGCTGAGATTATAGCCTATAGGATAGGGCCCCCCCTGGAGTGCAAGCAAGATGGCTCGAACAGAAAAGCATTCTCGATCCAACGGTCATTGGACGGGGCGAACCAGACGAGGTACGCGCGTCTCACTCCGTCTCATCGTGATCGGCCACGAAAAAAACCGGCGAGCACGAACCCAAGCTCTCTGTAGGTTGTACGACCCGGCTGTACAACCCGGCTGCAAGGGACTGGCCCAGAACAAGCAAACCGTGCCGTAGACCACTTTCCTCTTGGGTGCCGGTCGTCGTTACGCCCCGATCTAGACAGCCTACCTACCTAGTGGGTTTTGTTTGCCCTGGTGTGGTGTTTGGCTTGATTGCGTATGGCGTTGTGCGGTGTGAAGGATGTATGTCTCGGCAAGCCCCCGACCAAGAAAAAAAAAAAAAAGGTCCTCGGTGACGGAGCGGTCAACGAGGCGAACCAGAGTGAGGGTGGAAACGGCTATGCTATGCTTGAAGAGATTCCGTCGCTTGACGCGGAGAGTTGGCAGAGTTGGTAAGAGAGATAGAGACCGTGTGTGCTTTCTGCTCGCCGTCTACATACCTACCTACCTACCTACCTAGGTAGGTAGCAAGGTTCACTTTGGATAGTTCGGTGCTGCAGATTCTTACGCTCGACTTCCGGGTGTGTGTGTGTGTGTGAGAGAGAGAGAGAGAGAGAGAGAGAGAGAGAGAGAGACGACCGGGATGCATGCTCACCCCTTCGCACGGCTTTGTCGAATGCCTCTCGTGTTCGTTCCATGTGGCCATGCCATTTTCAGATGCAATTTCCAGCGCCCAGACGGGAAGAGAGGCTCGGGATAGACGGTTCTGATGGGTTCCATTGGTGGTCTAGATCCATTCATCCTTGAACAAGGGCCGTCGCGCCAAGGGGGAGGAGGGGGAAGCCAGCCTGTGGTAGCCGTGTTCCCTACCATCCGAAGTGGGCACGGATGCTGATCTCTGGTTGAAAAGTTCCGGTCGGTCCTCTCTGTAGGTAGCGTACAGTATCCGTACACTACCATGATCTATCTTTACGGCAGGGAGCCATTTTCCTCACCATCTTCGATACCGGCCTACGCTGTGCCACATTTAATGCCATAACCGAGACTTGAGAGATCATCTGGGCATGCAGAAGAGAGCGAGAGCCCACTACCTGTGCCTCCGTTGCTCGGCCCATGTCGTCTGTCACTGTCCAGTAAGAAAGAGCCTGCTGTAGCACTCAGACGGACAATGCAGTTGATAGATGCTGCAACGCACATAGTAGTAGTACACGTGTAGGTCCTGTTAGTGAGTTGAGTGGACTGCCACTCTATCGCAGCCGAAACTGCGGGCTCCGGGCGAACGCTGTTAGCGCACGGAGCCGGGGGGTAGGTGCTCAAAGCTGGTTCATTGATGAGCCAGCCACCTTGGCCTTCGTTTCTTTCCCCTGTACATAGCAACACCAGCGCCAGCACCGCCCGAAGCGGCAGAGGCACCGAGCTGGCAGCGGCAAGGTAGGGTTGGGGGGGGGGCTAAAACAAACGGACGCAGTGGGGTGGTTGGTAGATGAATTGGAAGGGCGGCGGCGGCGGCGGCGGCATGTCTCCAAGGCTCCAAGGGGGAGGCCGAACGCTCGCCCACTTCAAGCCCTGCGCACCGCTAAGAGCCCTAGGCGTCTAGATGACGAGAGAAAAGGTCGATCTGGCAGGTTAATTCACGATGACGGGCGAGGACCGTGAAACGGGGCTCTACGTCATGGAGCGAGCCTCTGCAGGATGCGACGACGCGCGCGCAACCCATGTCGGTGCAGCATGAGGACGGAGAACCGAAGCGAAAGAGATTTCGTGCGTTAAATCGCCGTCCTGCGTCTTTTTTTGCCCCATGTTTGTGTTTACAGGCCCGCTTGACTATTGTGAGGGAAGCCGTGCCAACCTGTCTACTATGGCGGGGAGGGGAAGACAAGCGGGAGGATGGGGTTGAAGAGGGGGAAAGGGGAGGAGGGGGTTTTGGAAGAGGGCGTTTCTCCTGATTAGTTGGACTAATGTCTCCGGGAATGCATGTGTAGCAATGAAAAAGGAGAACGAACAAGTGCGGGCTTTTAGGGGGATGATGGCCATTCGGATGTATGTATTCCACCTAAGCGGCTCCATCTCCATCCATGTACGATACCGGTATGAGGAAGCCTCTTTAACTGGAGCTACTGGCCCGAACATGTGTGATGAGATGGGATGAGACCAGTCTAGGTAGAGTAGCAGCCGTGTAGCAATTGATAACGCGCGACGATACATCGAGATGGCATCACGGGCCCACGTCGCCCGACTGATAAACTTTCCCTGCCTGGGTTTCCTTTCCTCTCAAGAGACTCGTTGTGTCAGCCGTTCTCGGAGCAAAATCTCCAAAAAAAAAAAAAGAAAAAAAAAAAAAGTAAAATTCAGCTGGCAAGCATCATTTGCCTTCTCGGCATTCTGTTTGATGCTCCACGCGCCGAAGCATGCGGGCTTCGTCCCCGATGACCGGCTTCGCTGATATGGGGAATGCATGGGATCCTATACTCACCACGCTTGGAACCACTGTCGTAATCCTCACCGTCCCACCGGTGCTGGCGGAATGCGGTCCTGTAGCTGACGATGGAGATGGAGTCCCAGAATCCTCAACGGATTCGTCGTCTTCCATTGCCGAGTTCGTGAACGTCAATATGCCTGCCTGTCCTCCAATCTTACTGAATTCCTCTCCCCCCCCCACCTCTTCTTGCACGGGCAGCCATTTCTAGCCATGGCCATGGCCGCCTTAGTGCACGCAAGCGAAGGCCGTGCGGAGGAGGCGGAGAAGGCGGAGGTGGAGGAGGCCTTATCTGACAGAGAGCGAATACCTGCCTGCATATCCGTACTCCGTATCCGTACATACATAGTATTCCGTACCTAGAGCTTCTTTTCAAATTACCTGATAAAAGACCACAGACACACTCCTGCACCCCCCCCCCCTGCACCCTTTGCGTACAAAACTTGGCAGCACCCCGGCTTGCTTTGCTTCGGTGCACCCAAAACCTCGCGCAGATCGGTGGGGGCTCGTCATCGGCGGATAACGTCTCGCCAAGCCTTTGCCGCAACCGAGAGAGGTCTCGACGCAGTCCATATTGCGCGGCCAGGTACGGATACACGCCCGCAGCTCTTCTAGCCACACACCTGATGCCCAGAGATCCCGTAAGCCGGTAAAGTGACAGAGGAGGGAGGGAGACATACTTGTGCGTACTCCGTACTCCAAGACCCTATGCACCGCACGGCGAGGTGAATCAGGGTTTGGGTTCCCAAGTAATAGCGTTTTGGAGCTTGATCGGCGCAGCTTCGACGCCGGAATACCGGGTTTGCTTTCGAGAATAGCATCCCACCTTTCTGCTTGTCCCGGCCATCTGGGCTGGCCTTGTCCGAAGAGCCGTGGGGCATCTCTTGTCGCGACCCACGCGGGTTGGCGCTCCCATGGGCTATGGAACGGCGCGGGGAGGGGGGGGCAATGCTGTTCCGAAAGAAACATGCCAGTGTCCCAGACGCCGAACAGCCATGTGCTCGATCACAATCTCACCACGCACCGCATCTCGCATCGAGCCTCATTAGCGAGAATTGCAGGGCCGGTCGTGCTGGCCCCGACTCAGTTGCGTCATAACCTGTCCAGCCCTTCATCTCTGGTTGTCTAGGGGCGTGGCACGAAGACGGCGCAGTTGATGTTGACCTCGTGAGCCTCCTTGCAGGACAGACAGCCTGCACTGCACTCCCCCACAAAACAACCGTGCCATCCGAATCCGTACGTGGCATGTCTTCAAGCCCGTCGAAACTGGCAAGCTTCGAAACCCTCTCCCCCTCCCCGGCCACTCCGCTTCCATAGTTCAAATCCAACTTGGAAGTTGAGGCTTGACAAGACGGTCAGTCGGATCAGATTCGGTTTCCATAAAGCACGCGCATGGGGATGACTAATTTGCACCCAGACCAGTGGTGCCTTGATATACCGTCCGCGTCGGCCATGGTGGTGATGGTGGTGTTATGATTGAGACACAACAATCCGCCCCTGCGAAACACCACCTTGGCGTGGTCCCTCTCCCTGCTTCCCCGGACTTTCTTCTTTTTTCTTCTTCTTCTTCTTCTTCTTCTTCTAACAGATAATCAAGGAAACCTGCAGCCGGGCGGTCGCATGCATGGTCAATTGGTCTTGGAGGGACGGACACGGGCTAATATGCCCTCGTGGCAGGTTGATCGTCAGTATCGAATGTCGATCCGGCCACAGAGTACAGGGTGACGACTTGGTCATCAATTACATGCGTAGAGACCCCTCGATGCCCGTCCTCCGCTTATCGCGGGTCAAGGTTCGAGGGAAACGAGTAAGCCGGCTGTTGACTTGTAGAGGATGTGAGTGGTCTGCGAACATAGCATAGAGGCAACGCCATGGAGGTCGTCGGCCAATCCCTCGTCCTCGCCCAACGGCTGCATGTTGCGCTGAGGCTATGATTGGCCACGCCATGGGAGGGGGCGCTTTATATCCGTAATCATACTCTGTACTTCTTACAAAGCGCATACATACTTGTCCATGTTAGTATGCGCAGTAGCAGCGAAGACCTTGACTGCTACAAGGACATGCCTTGCCCGCGGACCGTCTTGCTCCAATGGCCTTGTGCGTTGCCTGGCCTGGCACGGATGATCCGGAAGCTGACGCGCTCCGGCAGCGACTCGGCGGCCGAGCCCTAGTCTCGTCGATAGTTCTTGACTTTCTCGTCGATTTCCGCCGTCCACCTCCACCGGCTGAGGTCCGAGTGGGTATCAAGACTCGTCCCAAACTTTAATTGAGGTTCACCCCAGTTTCGACTCATCCACAACGTGGTATGCTTAATCGGAGAGAAAGAAAAAAGAAAAAAAAAAGGGCTGCTTGGCGCTTGCTAGCCAGGTTCACCGCCTCTTGACTCTTATACCTCTCCTTTTCTTTGATCGATTCCCTCCGTCTTGTCGATGCAACGCCAAGCTGAC